GAGTAATTTGAGTCAAACTCCTTAACGAGCTCGGTCTCTGAACGAATTAAACTCGTAAGTCAAGGCCCCACTGTACCTTGGTTGTGGGCACATCCCCAGTAGGGGGCGTGCAGGAGGCAGCTGATCAATGTTTCTCACAGATGTTTCTAGCTCTCTATCCCTCTCCCTTCCTCTCTGTAAAAAATCAATAAAATATATTTAAAAAAAAATAAAATGAGATTCATCAGACTTATGGATGGGAAACATTTTAGTTTTGGGTGATAAGAGCTTAACAGGAGGGATGAGCTGCGTAAGTAAAGGCTTAGAAAGTCTTTCACTAAAGAACACTGGCAGGAAGAGAGCAAAGAGTGCTGTTTATTAAAATAATCTGTCAAAAACCTTCAGAGATGTTTCATATGTCTCTTAAGTGAAGAACCAAGTTTTTGTCAGGGCCTGTATAATATATACGTGTGTGTGTGTGTATGTACATAAAGAAGAGTCTCTGTATCACCCAGAGCAAATAGTCTCTGGAACATAATAAACAATGCTGGATGAATATCAAATGTCGTATTTTATTTTATTTTTTTAAAATATATTTTATTGATTTTTCACAGAGAGGAAGGGAGAGAGATAGAGTTAGAAACATGATGAGAGAGAAACATCGTTCAGCTGCCTCCTGCACATCTCCCACTGGGGATGTGCCCGCAACCCAGGTTCATGCCCTTGACCGGAATCGAACCTGGGACCTTTCAGTCCGCAGGCCGATGCTCTATCCACTGAGCCAAACTGGTTTCAGCAAATGTCATATTTTAGATACAAGTTTTTAAAAGTTGCACTTCTAGGTATACAGAAGTCAATTAATCTCAAAGTGTCATGGTTTTTTTGTTTGTTTGTTTGTTTTGCAAAAGCAGAATTTTATTATATAAAAGCTCCCTGTTACAGAGAGGGGATCCAAGCAGATTGCCCTCAAAGTTCAGAATTTAAATGAGAAGCAACAGGTCCCGGTAACACAAATCTACTTTAAAGATTCAAAGATGAGTGCTCTTAACATTTCTGACTATTATTCAAGTTCTTATTTGCTGAATGCAAGAGAAATACTTACTGAGAGACTATAATGTGCCAGGGCAGCGTGCTTATAATTGTGCCAATTTTCATGTTACAGTAATGCTATCTACTTAGTGATCTCAGTGTCCAAAGAACATTTACTTGTCTTTTTTTGAGATTAGTGCTGATGATTTTCCAATGAGATGTATTACTTAGTTAAGAGTAAAATAGGAAATAAAAAGTATGGTATGTTGGATTGGTTAATCAACTGGCAGTTCAAATAATCTGGAGAACTTAGTAAATGCTGAACACTTTCTGCAATTTTTTACATGCCATCATCTCACTCAACCCACATAACACAATGACATACATACTCTAACTTCTTTCATTTCATAAACTGGGAAAACGACACTTTGAGATTAAATAACTTTCCCAGGATACCCCAGCTAGTACAGAATTCTTCAGGTTTTATTCTTAAAGATAAGGTGGTTTTTAATTATATTTACAATATTATTTGTACAAATGGTTTTCTCCAATCTTTGAAGCCAAGTTTGTTATAATTATAATAGCAGCTCAAAAAAAATTATATAACATACTGTAGAGTAAGTCAGTGGGGAATACTAAATATCTTAAAAATATCTGCCAAACAATTCTTACTATGGCCTCTAACAGTCTAATGGCTTTCTTAATTTAATCTGTATGTAATATAAAAAAATTTATAAATACCTCAAAAATCCTTGAGGAAGAGGTGGTTTAACATACTAAAACCTATGTTGTTATTATAATAAGTCAATAAAGCTTAACATTAACAAAGAACTGCAGTAACAAAAGAAAAATTTCAGACCTCAGGAAACTAAAAAATTTTATGATATATGATAAATCAGTTCTATAGAGAAAATAAACAGGCGAAGGGAGATAGGGAGTATGGTAGTCTGAGAACTCCTTAGTGACATGGAGACAGTTGAACAGTGATAAAGTGAATTGAGAGAACAAGTCTAGGAGATAACTGAGTAATAGGGGCTCCAAGCAGATGGAATCATTAAGTGCAATCTTTCTGAGGCAGGAGCACTTTTTAAAAATAACTATTTGCACTATAATACTTTGATAACATTTATAATTTTTACAGTTAGTGATTACTTCACTTAGCTGAAGAGATTCATTCAAATGTCAACGATCTTTTTCTTTTAACTAAATGAACCAAAATATAGCTTTAGTTGAGACATCATGGAATGATTGGTTCATCCTATCTTAGCCCAGCAAGAAGAGCCTGCCAGAAATAAAATATGACTTCCTCATTTTTACTAGTCAAGCTTCTTCAAGATTTATCTGGAATCTATTTCCTAAATCAAAGTTCTGCCACAGAAAATTAATCAAAAAAGGATTCAAATGAAAGCACTTCATTAAAGTGAAGATTGGAGATGAGAATAAATATTCTGAGAGGTTATCTTAAGAAAATGCTAAAAAATCTAGGTATAGTAACTGAAAGAAATTTACAAAACATAAATAGCTAGCTATCACAAAAATGCAGGCCAGATACCAAATTTTCTTTGACAGGATAAACAGAATTGGCTGTTCCACAGTATTCCAAAACCCTAACAGCAACTTAGCAGTTCAATTAAAAAAAAAAAAATGCTTTGAATACTGTTTTGATTATTTATCTTCCAAAAACTAGCTGTGAAATACTTAACCCAGGTCTCTATTACAAGATGTTAGAACACAGAACTAGACATTCAATACCTGTTTGAGGGATAAATTTCAAATTTGCAGGAAGTAGTATTTATCCAATTTTCTACAAGGGAACCAACTTTTTCTTCCAAATAACACTTTTTAAAATTAATTATTAGTCCTAGCCAGTTTGGCTCAGTGTATAGAGTGTCGGCCTGCGGACTCAAGGGTCCCAGGTTTGATTCCGGTCAAGGGCATATGCCCAAGTTGCGGGCTCAGTCCCCAGTAGGAGGCGTGCAGGAGGCAGCCAATCAACGATTCCCTCTCATCATTGATATTTCTATCTTCCTCTCCCTTCCCCTCTGAAATCAATAAAAATATATTTTAAAAAATAAAAATAAAATTAATAATTATATGCAAGTATGTTAATGTTATTAGAGTAACGTCATGGTAGATATAACTATGACAACTTTTAGAGTGTGTAGGCTTATAAATACATTGTCATAATCAAAATGTTCATTTTAACCTATCATAAAACAAATCCAAAATAAAGTGATCCAGCCCCTGCAGTATCGCTCAATGATTGCCTATGAACCAAGAGGTCATGTTTGATTCCTGGTCAGGGCACATGCCTAGGTTGCAGGCTCCATCCCCTGTAGGGAGCGTGCAGGAGGCAGTTGATCAATGATTTGTATCATTGATGTTTCTCTCTCTCCCCATCTCCCTTCCTCTCTGAAATCAGTAAAAATATATTAATAAAATAAAGTGATCCATAACTCCCATCTATAGTTTACTAATGGTCCAAATTGGGAATTTGTTTCAGCTCATTTTTTTGTACCCAAAAGAAATCTAAGCTCCTCCCAAGGTTACTTGAAGCCTAAGAATTAGGGTATCACTCCCAGTATGATCTAATGATGGTCTCACTTGTAAAATAGTTTTACTTTGACCTCACCTGGTGGCTCAGTTGGTTGGAGCATCCTTCTTTTTTCACTCTTTCTAATAATCTATAAAAAACATGTCCTTGGGTGAGGATTAAAAAATAAAAAAGAATTCATTAAAAAAAAAATTTTAGACTTAATTTGTCTAACTCTGTGGGTGGTATTCTTAAAATAGAAGTCCCTTAAGGGCAGGGATCTCTAAAACAGCATTGTACACTTAAGATGTTCAATTAGAAATAGTCCTGAAGCTTCTATTAAGTCAATGTTCATAATTTTTAAGAGTTCCATTCCAATCAGGGCACATACCTAGGTTACGGGTTTGATCCCTAGTTCGGTGAGTACGAAAGACAATCCCTCATGTTTCTTTCTTTCTTTCTTTCTTTCTCTCTCTCTCTCTCTTCCTTCCTCTCTCTCTTAAAATCAATAAACATCTATCCTCTAGTGAGGATAAATATATACATACACACATATATAAAAAGTTGCAGAAATTTAGAAACAAAGAATGAAACTAAGGATAGAACCTAGTAAAATGTCCACCTAAGTCTGTTTTCCAAGGAGTGGTCCCCAAAAAGTATGGGGGGGAAAGAACACCATCCTCTGGGAGTTGACAGGGAATTTGGCAAGTTTCAAGCACTCTCACTTGTGGCCTAATTTTATGAATGGAAAAAACTCTGCATCAAAAGGTGCGACTTGCCCAAGGTCAGTCAAGAAGTTAGTGTTGCAGCTCTACCTAGAAGGGTGCACTTCACCTGACACTTTCCACTACACCGTCCTGCCCGCCCTGCCGCCAGAGGTAGAGCGAATCAGACTCCCGCACTATCCTCAATCTGCTAGGGGCGGGTGAAAGCTTTCGGTAGCAGGTCAACCTGGGGGAGAAAGTTGTGCGGGTCACCGATCGGCCCAGGAAAGTGACATGCTGACAGGCGCAGCTCCCAAAGGAACCGTCCTGCATTCCCAGGAGCCCCTCCGAACCCGGCGCCAGCGAGACTGCTCCCGGAAACGTCTGAAAAACCTCCCAGGGAGTTTCGCCCCCTCCTGGGCGCGAGGAACGACCGGGGAAGGAGCCAGAGGACAGACGGCCACCCGACCCAGCCATGTGTCCAGCCCGTCACGCCCGCCTCGCCACAGCCGGTTCCTCGTGCCTCGACCGCAGCCAGAGGCCCAGCTCGGGACCCGACGCAAAGGCTGTCTGGGCCGCCGCCGCCACCGCAGCAGCCCGCGGTGTCCCGGCGTGGCACTCGCCGTCAGGTCCCCGCCCCACCTCTCCAGTTGAGCCCCTAAGCGACGCTGTCCGCGTCCCTAGCCAGGCCCGGCGGGATCGGCCTGCCACACAGTCCGCCCGACCGCCCGCCGCCGCCAGCCCGGCGTCCTTACTTCATTAAGCTGGCGCTCCGCGGCCTCCCGCAGGGCAGGATCCATGGTGCCCCGCAGGGCCTCGATAATGGTGTTGGGGTCCATCGCAGCGCGGACTTGCTAAAACCCCAAGGCTCGGGTGCTTCTGAGCCAGGAACAGCACCGCTCACTGCGCACATGGACCCGCCGCGCTCCGCAGCGGCAACCGGCGCGAAAGGAAAGAGAAGCGCCAAAGCCCCGGATAGAACCTCTTCGCCTCGGCGTGGAGGCGGGAGATGCTCCGGAGATTTCCTGTCAGTCCGCCGCGGAGCACCTTGGGATGTGTAGTCCGCGAGTGCAGTCCGCAACCCACGTGGTCCTGAGCTGTCTCTCATACAAATCAAAAAGGAAAAATGTCCAGACTGCACAGAAAGAAATTTAAAACAGTTAAAAATATTTCACATTATAGTATACTTATGGTGACTATAAGATGTATCTGATACAGTAAGGGATGCAATCCATTGTTAGTAGCTGTGTAATTGAAGGAAACCTTTTCAAAAGCATTTTGAGACAGTGTTTCTATATGCCATAAAAATGTTTATACCCAAGTAAAAAAAAAAAAGTTTGACCCCAGTAATCCCATTTATGAGACTTTCCTAAGGAAATAACACAAAAGAGTAAATGAGCCTTACATGTGAAAGGTATTTATCACATTGCATATTTATTATAATCACGAAATACTAAAATTATGGCTTTTTATTGAGCATCCAAATTTTGTCAGGAACTTTATATAAACCACATCTAAATTCAGAACAAAAGCATAATTCCTATTAAAACCCACCTTCTTTAAAACAGTTAAACAGTTTCAGAAAGGTTAAATAACTTGCCCAAGGTCACTTAGATATTAAGAGGTTCACCTAGGATATCAAACCTAGGACATTTCTGTTTTCAAAGTTTTCATTCCATTGAATTACTCTGCCTCTCCAGATAAATGTCGACCTGGCCTGCGTGGCTCAGTGATTGAGTGTAGACCTATGAACCAGGAGGTCATGTCCAGGAGGTCATGGTTGGATTCCTGGTCAGGGCACATGCCCAAGTTGTGGGCTCGATCCCCAGTGTGGGGTGTTCAGGAGGCAGCTGATCAATGATTCTCTCTTATTGATGTTTCTATCTCTCTCTCTCCCTCTCCCTTCCTCCCTGAAATCAATAAAAAATAATATAAAAATTAAAATACATTGAATTAAAAAAAGAGAGAGAAAGAAATGTCAAACAATACAGGAACCCTACTTTGCTATCTCTAACCATTTTGGCCTCCCTAAACCCTCTAAACTCTGTCTCCTTGACTCAGTGAGACCACAGTGCTTTTTATGGGAACCCTTTCTTGCCATATGGTCTAGATTGTACCTTCAGACACAAAACTGAGGAAACTATTTGGTTTACTTGTTTTCTTTCTCTCAGGGACCACAATTCTAATCTGCTTCTTATTTGAAGTCTAAAAACAGTTGTTTCACATATTAAGTCCTACTTGTTTACAACATGGGTGTTCACTGTTACTATACCATGGGTGGAATCAAAAGATACTCTGAAATTTTTAGCTACTATGCACAGGTAGATACTCTCTTTATCACCTGAAGTATTCAGGGTAGCCATGAGGATCAAAAAATAAATCACATATCAGAATTATTCTTTTAACTCACAACAGAAAATTTCCTTTTATCTGCCCACTCATAATGTGGAGGAGATATGCTACTTACTTTGTCCTTTAATATGTCAGATATATTTAATAGTTTTGTTTTTTTTAATATGCAGAGTCAGTGCAACAGAATCTGAAAGGAATAAAAAGTCAGAATATATATGAGGTAGCTTTAGGCCACAATATCCCAAAAATTCTAACCTGAGATCTGTCTGATTACCCCATTTCCCAGGAAGGAGGTCTGTGGATATTTGGTAGTCTTCATTTTTCTAGGAAGGCAATCTAATTGCGAGCTGACTCAGAAACACATAGATCCCCAATACCATAATGGTTTAGTAGAAGGAGCATTAGCCTCAAATTCAAACAGATGTGGATTGAATCTTGACTCCATAACTTCCTAGACTTGACAAGACTGAGGGCCTTCATTTTCTCTTCTATATAATAGAAACAACAGCAATCCTATGATGAGGTTGATGTAAAATCATGTAGAGTATATCAAGCAGGCCCTGCATACATAGTACCCAGAGTACAATTAACTCAATAAATGGTCATTTGAACAGACACTTCACCAAAGAAGATGCACAGATGGCAAATAAACATATGAAAAAATGCTCCACATCATATTTCTTTAGGGCAGTGGTTCTCAACCTTCTGGCCCTTTAAATACAGTTCCTCATGTTGTGACCCAACCATAAAATTATTTTCGTTGCTACTTCATAACTGTAATGTTGCTACTGTTATGAATCATAATGTAAATATCTGATATGCAGGATTGTCTTAGGCGATCCCTGTGAAAGGTCGTTCGACCGCCAAAGGGGTCGCAACTCACAGGTTGAGAACCGCTGCCTTAGGGGATTACAAATTTACACAAATCAATGAGATACCATTATGAATGGCTAAAACCCAAGACACTGACACCAAATGTTCACAAAAATGTGGAACAACAGAAACTCTCACTCACTGCTGGTGACAATGCAAAATGGTACAGCTCTTCTGGAAGGCAATTTGGCAATTTCTTACAAAACTAAACAGTTCTTACCATATGATCCAGCAGTTGCACTCTTTGGTATTTAGTTACCCAAATGATTTAAAAACTAATGTCCATACTAAAATCTATACACGGATGTTACTGCAGCTTTACTGGGGATCTATGTGTTTACTGCAGCTGTTACTTCATAATTGACAAAACTTGGAAGCAACCAATATGCTTTCAATAGCTAAATGTATAAACAAACCATGGTACATCCATACTATGGAATGTTACTCAGCAATAAAATTCAATGAGCCCTGGCTGGTGTTGCTAAGTGGTTAGAGTGTCAGCCCACACACAGAAAGATCTCAGGTTCGATTCCTGGTCAAGGGCACATACCTGGATTGCAGATTTGATCTCCTGGCCCCCGTCAGAGCACGTGCAGGAGGCAACCAAGTAATGTGTCTCTCTCAGATCGATGTTTCTCTCTTGCTTGTTCACTCTCTCTCTTCCCCTCTCTCCTTTCCACTCTCTTTAGAAATCAATGAAAAATATCCTCAATTGACGATTAACAACAACAACAAAAGAAATGAGCTATCAAACCACAAAAACCTTGGGAACCTTAAGTGCATATTGCTAAGTGAAAAAAGCCATTATGAAAAGAGCACAGAGGATTTTTAGGTGATGAAACTATTCCACAGGATACTGTAATAAGGGCTATATGTCATTATACTTTTATCAAAACCCATAGAATGTACAACACAAAGAGTAATCTGTAATGTAGACTATGGACTTTATTTAATAATATAGCATTATTGCCCTAGCGGCTTGGCTCAGTGATAGAGCATCGGCCTGCAAACTGAAGGGTCCTGGGTTCAATTCCAGTGAAGGGCACATACATGTTTTTCACTCGCTCAGAAACAGACAATTCTGAAAATGGAACAGAACCAAAAGTTATAAAGTAGACCCTCATATAAATGGGAATTTCATTTATGACAAAGGTGACACCCAAAAGTAATGGGGAAAATGCAGGTATTTAAGGGATAGTTTTGGAAAAACTGTCTCTTTATAAGTAGAAAAATAAGACTGGATCCTTACTTCACACTATATACACAAGTGGATTCCAGATAGATTAAAGATATAATTTTGAAAAGAACAACTATAAAGCTAGTTGTGAAATAGAAGAGAAGAAGTGTAAGAGAGGTTTTGTTTGTTTATTTGTTTTTACTTGGAGGAAGGGAAAGGCTTTTAAAGCTGAAAACCAAAAATGTTTCTGTCCAATAAAAGATAACATAGATAGAGTTAATAGACAGACACAGACTCTGTACATATGTTTACCACACCTAAAAACCACAGAGGATTATTATCAAGTATATATATGGAATTTCTGCAAATCAGTATAAATAAGATCCCAAATAAAAATGGAAATATATTATTATAATGCATTCATAGAAAGGAAAGCTTGAATTACTAAGTGGGACATAATGAAATGAATAATTTATGAAGCATAAGACAATAAAACACCATTTTTATTTCATTGGAGTAACAAAAAAAGATAAAGTTACAAAATACAAAGTATTTACAAGTATTTGGAAATATTAGCACCCTTGTGCACTGTTCACAAGAGTATAAACTGATTCAAGTATTTGAAAAATGATCTGAAGTACTTAGCAAAACCAAATAATGCTTACACACTGTAACACAGTACTCCCAGTTTTAGGTCTGTATTACAGAGTATAGTCTTCATAGCTTTTTTGTTGTTATTAATCTTCACCTGAGAATATTTTTCCATTGATTTTCAGAGAGAGAGTGGAAGGGAGGGGGAGAGACAGAGAAACATCGATGTGAGAGAGACACATCACTTGATTGCCTCCCACATGTGCCCCAACCAGGGTCAGGGATCAAGCCTGCAACTGAGGTACATGCCCTTGACTGGTATTGATCCCAGGACCCTTCAGTCCATGGGCCGATGCTCTCTCCACTGAGCAAAACTGGCTAGGGCTCATAGCTTTTTGTTATTATAGAGGAAAGTAGAAAGCATCCCAGATATCTATTTTTAGGGCAATCTTATATAATAAAAGCGTAGTATGCAAATTGTCCCCTTGACCGGAGTTGTCCAGGAGTTCGACTAGGGGGTGGGTGGCCGGGAGAAGGGTGGGAGGCCCCGGCCGGCAGCTGGCAGCTACTAGGAACCCTACCAGTGCACGAATTTTGTGCACTGGGCCTCTAGTAGAAATATAAAAGTAACAAATTCCAACCTTGGAACATTGTGCTACAATTAAAAGCAACAACCCTTATATCCCTATAACAATATGAACAGATCTAGAAAACAATGTTGTGTGAAAACGGAAGCACCTTAATTAAATTTATAACATAATGACATTGATATAAATTACAAACCCATACACATGCTACTTCTGACCATAATGGAGTAACTACAAAACCCCCCTGACTGTAAACAACTATAAAACTGGACAAAATATATGAAGTATCCATTTTCAGGTAAAGGAAAAGAAAATGATAGTGTAAGGCTATAATCCCTGAGAGAAAAGGAACTAACAAAGTACAAAGGTAGGTGAACAGTTGTTCCTATGGAAAATAATACAATAATTA